TACCGCGGCGCAACATTGCACTTTCAAACTTTCGATCGATTTGTACTCGATATATACAACCGTGAGACAAGATGGGCATTGACTGTGGTTCATCTTTTAAACCGCCTTTTATTTGATTTCACGCCAAATCCTTTCGCGTGGTATACGTACAACACGTTGTTTGTGTGAAAATATTAGAAAACGTAACAGAATATTGTACCGCATATAAATCGATATATACCTCTGAGCGTGTATACGTATACGTGCTTGCGTGTGTGTGTTCGCTTACTGTGTCTGTGGCGGTCGAATGTTAGTAATATATACAGAAGGAACCGTGGATCAGGAACGCCCCTTTTTACGATACGATCGAATTTCTTTCCCGCGCAATTTCTAAGATGTGATAAAATGTCAATAATCGAACATTTTTAATTCCTTAGACTTTGAATTGATGTATGAACTTATTCCTCCCCACTTTACAAATATCACTTAACAATACTTTTATTTATTTAAATATTTATTACCTTTATTGTAATCAATTTTTTAATGATGTTAATAAACGAAAGAAATAAAGTATTTATGTAGAAAAAATAAGAAAGTATATGACGCCGGCATTAGTTGCCGTTTTATTCATAAAAGAGTTAATAAATATGAATATACTTCTGTGATGATTAAAGTAAAATTTATGTTTTAAGTAGATGTTGGACAATATGTATCTTATATAATTGTCTAATAGAAAAAAATATAGAGGAATTATAATTAGTTATAAACTGTTTATAAGACTTATAACTGTTTTGTGAATTAATAACACGTAAAGTATGTGTAAAGAGGAAATCAATGAATATATAAATATCATAGCATTGATGTAATATTTGATAAATATTTAACAAGCCCTGCAGTGTATAATACAGTTTATGATTAAACATTGTTTCAGGCTATTTAGATATTTCTTTGAAATGTGGTTACGAAGCGAACATGTTGGTAGAAGATTGCGTGGTCGTTTAAATATAAACACCGCATCTAGAACCAAAATATCCAATCATCGACTTCAAATTAGTAGTTTCCGGAAACTTCCATCTGTTAGCAATAATAATCATCGTACTGATATACCAAATAAATGTGGCAGGCTAACACGATGGAGGCATAGATGTATTCATTTTTTAAAAGAGGTAGGCATTAATTTTTATTTATACTCTGACCCTATGATTCTTATAAATATTAGATTTTCCCTTGTTGATATTCAAGACATTGCTGTTCATTTATGATATTTCAAAATATATAATTTATCGTTAGCTTATTATAAATGATCTTTGCAGGTCATTTATTAAAGCAAACTTCACTATTTCTAAAAAAGAGATACTTTCTAACTAATCAGCGATTAACAAGTGACTGACTAACTCACAAGGATGTTATACAATTAGATTTCTTAGAACTACAATTGAAGCCATTTGGTTAATATAAGGACTCCAATTCAGTTTTGTTAAAAGAATTATTATCTTCGTAGGCTTGTAAAGAAAATGTTTTACGTTTTGCGAAGTCTACACCTAGTAGACGAGAGAGAAGACCTCGTAGAAGAAAATGCATAAAAAGATCAATGGTTACTTCAACTCCATTACATCGAACTTCCACAAAAGATGCAGTTATTGTAAGTTACTACTCACTATAATGTATTTTATTATAAACAATTTAAACTATATGATTTTACATTCTTTAGCCACCAAAATGTGCAACAGTATCTAAGGTTTCTGAAGAATCAAAAGAAAATTGGAATACAACTACCTTAACTCTATATTCCTCTGTGCTAAATACAGATTCATGTTACTCCTCTATATCTACTATAAACGATTTCAAATCTTCAAGCTCAAACGTATCACCATTATTAAATCTAATGTCTCCAGCACCTGTAGGATCAAATTCAGACCTTTCATATGTATTGGAGGATGATGAAGATAAAAATATTGGTAAAATATAAAAATCTTCAGTTTATATTAACTTCTGTTCTCAGTATATATTCAATGTGCAAATTTCATTTCTTTCAGACACCGGCTCACTATACTATTCTGCTACTTGTACACAAACAGAAATAACTGAAGAATGTTATAATATAATGCATTCTACATCCATGTATGGAACTCGACCCTATCCATCAGAAAAATATTTTCCAAACGGAAAATATGCATTTAGTAATAACAATGCCAGTAACAGTAATTTATCAAAAATTCAATATTCTATTGACAGTCCATCATCAAAGTATGAGTCGGGCTTTGTTAATACAAAATACAGTACAACAGCTATGTACAGTTTAAGCCATAATCATTCATCTGACACAAATGGGAATGTTACGGAAAAGTATGATTCTGATGATATTGAGGGCGATTATCATGACGTCGAATACATGGAAGTTGGAAGCGAAGAAATAGTAGAAAGTTGTGATATGGAAAATATGGTTACACATGTTCAAGAAGATTGGGAACCGTTTGATCCTTATGTTTTCATCAAGCATTTACCGCCTTTGACTCCGGCAATGAGAGCCAGATGTCCTGCTCTTCCACTTAAAACACGTAGCAGTCCAGAATTTAGTCTCGTGTTAGATTTGGTATGTAATTCAATTATCTGTATAAAATAAGTGAAGATATCTTCTTTCTAAAAAAATATATTATTATGCAGGATGAAACATTAGTGCACTGTAGTCTACAAGAACTTTCGGATGCAGCATTTCGTTTTCCAGTTGTCTTTCAAGATGTAACATACACAGTGTTTGTTAGAACACGACCGTATTTTCGAGAATTTTTAGAACACGTGTCATCACTGTACGAGGTAATCCTTTTTACGGCGAGTAAACGGGTGTACGCGAACAAATTAATGAATCTGTTAGATCCGACACGAAAATTGATTAAATACCGTCTGTTCCGAGAACACTGCGTTTGTGTTAATGGAAATTATATCAAGGATCTATCTATATTGGGTAGAGATTTATCTAAAACTGTTATTATTGATAATAGTCCACAAGCATTTGGATACCAGGTAAGTAAATATTTCGATCAGATCTGCACAACTGATGCGTTTTGGGAAGTGGAAGCTTGCAAGCAGATTGGTTGTGCAGGTTTGATCTAGAAAATTCTAATTATAAATAGAACAGTAAACTATCCTTATTTTTACCAAATATTTATATTACAGTTAGAGAATGGTATTCCTATAGAAAGCTGGTTCGCTGATCGTTCAGATAACGAATTAATGAAATTGTTACCTTTCTTAGAAAACTTAGTAAATTGGGTGAGTACTTATAATCGACTCGGCTTATATTTGATAATTTCACACGAAATTAAATTACTATAATGTTACAGGGAGGGGATGTTAGACCACGTATTAGAGAACAGTTCCGGCTTTTCAGTTTTCTACCACCAGATTAATTTAGTCAGCACAAAATTAACATAATCGAAGTACTAACCTGTGTAGGTATGTACGTGTATGTATATCTTACAGGTATTAAATACATAAATGTAAGATATTAACACGAAGCGTGCAAAATACACGCCAAAAATTTATACAAATTGCAATATTTTATTATTAAGTACATTCAGTAATGAAATTTGAGAATGATTCAAAATCAAAACATAATTATTTCTAGCGAGTATTAAATTATTATCATAGAATAATTTTTACAAAACTGAAAACAAAATTAATTTAATTATCAAATGTACAACATGTATTCTATCACAGTTTTTCTGTAAACTTTTTAAAATGATTTGATCAGAAGATTAATGTCAAAAGTATTATTTTAGAATCAATGTTTTAATATTGTTAAGAAAGAAAATATCGCAAGATAGTAGATACTATAATTCGTATCAAATTTTGGGCAGGTACCAATTAATTAAAATAATAAGTAATGAAAATATACGACTTTATGAATTATATACAGACCAATCAAGATATAATATTAATAATTACGAGGGCTATATGTTGCGCAAGTAATTATTATGAATACTTTAATCCAAATTGTTCAAAAACTAGCTCATATGTTTATTGTTAAATTTCTCAAACAAGAAGAAATTATATGCTTCAGGTATCTCTCAATTTGCATAGAATTAATATTAGTTGCAAAATATAAATATAACATAATATAGAGTACATATATATTTATGCATAATATTAAATTGAGAGGTTCCTGAATCACGTTTTCATTAAGATCTTTATTTCTTCGTAAATACTACATCGACAACAATATTCAGCACTTGTTTAGTTTCATGTAACGATTTTTAGTTTGTATATGAAAATACAAACCACATAAAGAATCAAACATGTACGCAATACCCAATTTTATCTCATTGTTTAAAAAGTCGGAATTGATTGATTAAACTGTTCTTTTGTTGATGCTAAAACAATTACACAAATTCGATAACTGATTATTGTTTGATTGTACAACTGATCGTAATATCTGTTATATACAAAAATATGCAAAATACTTAATACATTTATCTAATTATAATATAAGCTAAGGAACACGAAATGAAATTATTGCAATAGCTAATACAACTATTTGTCCCCCAAAATATTAAAGTTTATTAAAAACAAACAAAATATACTCATAGAATAAACATAGATGAAAAGTGAACAAAACGAAAACTTCCAGTTATAGTTAAATTTCCTTCTCGCCAGTTTTTACTTCTATTTATAGTATCTTCATAGCAAAAATCATATCTATCAATAGAAAATAAAAAAAGAAAAAGAGTAGAATTATTAAACTCGTACCTTCAGTACAAAAATATTTTTTCTATCAGTTGTAATCAATTATTCTGATTTCACCAATTATGTTCTGATAAACAGTTCCGCACAAGTAAATCAATTTTTTTATATATTTTGCAAACTTCGAGCTCGGAAAACATTGTTATCAGTTACATAGTTATGCCGTTTTGCTAATAATTGTTAAATGTTTTTTACTATATAGGTATGGATACCTAAAGAATCTCCCAAATAGATACAGTCTTCGAGATTTCTTATTATAGATAAATACGATCTCAGTCTAATTACTTTCAGTGCAGTAAAATTATAGGTGTTAAAATTTTTGGTTGAGCACTATAAGTATAAATCAATGTAGATTCCAAATTGTTCAGTGCATATACATGTATTTACAGTTTCTTAATTACGAATATGTATTGATATGTACGTATCTGTATAAACGTGCGTGTGACAACTGTATCATTATACCCTGCTACACCCATTGAAATTTATAAAATTGAGTGTAATCATAACCGGAAATTCATATTAAAATGAGACATTCATGCAAAGTAACGTAGTAAAAGAATCTTATGGTTTTTGCTGTATTTCAGGATTGTACCTATGCATGGTTCACGTCACGAATTTACAGATGTGTAAAAATCAATTTTATTGTCAGAAAGAAAATGTAAAAATCCATTTTTTGTATTAAATTAGGTTCCTTGTAAAATGTTAAAGTTCGTGTCTAAAGAAATCTGTGACATTAATTTGTAAAACGAGACTACCCGAAGTTAATTATTTTAACTTTGTACAAATGTACTGCGTGAAAATTGTAATGAATTCAATGATTTAATTTTGCCAGAACTACGTGTATTTTTCTTTTTTCACGCAATAATTTCTTAGTTTTAATGAGTAATGAATTAAACATTACTTTTGTTTAGAATTATAAAATTGTATTCCCTGTATGTATTGTAATAGTAACTTTCATAGACATAGTGTTTGTTATTGAAAGATTACTATTGAAAATAAAAGTAACAATAGGGAGACTACATGAGAAAAATACATGCTTGTTATATATGAAACAAGTGTTTATATTATTAATTTTTTTATTTATCATTTAACGATAAATATGTTCAGATTTAAGTTGTTACGATAGGATGAATACATTATTGAATGACATTCCTGTACTTAAAAGTATAAACCGTAAAAATCACTTTAATTTATAGATAAACCAGAATAAGTTTACATTCTAATAAAACATACAAATTTAAATCAAAATTTAACATTTAACATAATGTTTATTGTAACTAAACGCTGGAGACAAGAAATATGTAACAGACATAGTACAGCAATTGCTAAAGTGCAATTTATGATAATATAACATGTATCAGCATTAAAAATTCATTTCATATTCAGTTTCTTAAAAAATAAAATTGTTTGAACATTTTTCCAATAAGTTATATTTAATTTAATTTAAAAGTGATCATACAAAATACTATTACATTATTTTACATACAATTTTTAAAAATACATTACAATTTCATATTGTAAAAAATTTTATGTAAAACTGACTAGGAAAATAGTAAAACATGCTCATATTATATAAAACCTTATATAAAATTGATGTGCATTAAAAATTAATGCACCAGAAAAATGATATACATATTTTATATAGAAAAATATAAATTAGAGCGTTTATGTAGTTAGTAAAGATTTCAACTAAAATAAAATTAGAAAGATAAATTAATGATTTATAACTATGTACAACACATAAAAACAGAAACAAATACTTGTAGATTTACGCCATATAGCTATTAACGCCATTTGACATCAGAATGGCTAATTATTGTACATAATGCTTCTGAAGGATTTAGTCAGAAAGAAAATGCTGATAAACAGGTACGCTGAGAGTAATTATCCTTGAAGAAATGAACAAAAATCACATAATATTTTTCGAAATCTTTCTATAAGATATCTAATTTAGGAATACCTTTCATCGGTTACGCATTCCTGCCGTTTTCGGAGAATATACATTTGGAAATCTCCAAAGTCGTATTACTTAATTCTCGCCTCCAACATTTTGTTACTTTATTTGACCCCTATCGTTTGAGGAGAAAAAATGCTGAAAAATGTCACGTGCAGTATTATGTATTATGAATAATACATTCAACTATACTTCATGTTCAACATTAATATAATTTGCATATTCAACAGCTACAACAAGTTAACTATATTAATACCTACTTAACTTCTATGACATTTACTACCCTCTCAAACTCGGACTTCGGATTTGTTGAGTGTGCATAACATCTTGCACATTTGTAATGTGCAATACAATTGGTACATGTTTTGTATCATTAATAAATCATTAAAAATATATTTTCATCAAATTTGTCTGTTAAGAAAAATAAATTATATTCAGACAATAGTACACATTTTCGTTTTTATGTGTTTACTTTTTTCTACGTCCAGTTTACACGCATAACACAGGAACTTAACATCAGTGCATTCAGAATATCTGATTTCAACATATCCGAAATCCGAGTGTAATTTGTCCTAATCTTCCGAACGTTTGAAATACCTAGTCTCAATACGTTCGCAGAGATGTATAAGCAGCGGATAACTTTTGACAATCCTTGCCAGTGTATTACCAGGTAGAGGTGTTGTGATTATTGTAAATATATGTCCAAACACTAAGGCATCCAATTCATTGGGTGTCCTAAATATAATTACATGATGAAGTAATCAACTATGAAGTTGAAAAAATGGATATATTTCATGTATCAAAATCACAATAAGAAATACAATGAGTATTAAAGAAACTAAAATTCAAAAGAATCTTCTGAAAGTGATGGCAGTGCTTCGAAGGATTCAGTGGAATTCCACAAGGTATCCTTGGAGGAACATTCAACAACTTCAAAGTCGTGAAAAGATTCAGTTCTACCAAGATTCAAGTAGGTCTGACTAATTCTTGATGCATGTTCAAGAAGCTTAGGAAACTGTTGCACAGTTGTAGCAATCTTTTTTACGGTACTGGGAAGTTGGGAATTGGTAAGGACTTGTATATGACCATACACAAGAGCATCTAATTCGGTTGGTCTTCAAAATTTAAAGGAAAAATTAGATTTCATTTTGAATGATGATATAAAATTTAGACAAATAATAATTCATACTTACTCTTCTCCAGAAAAATAGTCGTTACCCTCTAGTCTTTCGGACAATATTGTACAACAATTGTTGACATCACTACATACTTCTTCTATAGTTTTATTGTACCAGCCAAGTACATTTAATTTTTTAATAACCTCTTTCCTTTTCTGCCAATTTAAAAAGTGATTTAAAGGCCAAGGGTACACACTACCATGTCTTGGTTTAGTCACTTCATTTAGAGTTGCTTCATCAACCCAACAGATATATAATTCAGCATTAAAAAATACATTGTCCACCAGTGACATGTAAGCTCTCATATCTGCCTTACAAGTTGCAGACAAATGTTCTGATAAACTTATGCCTTTATTTCCTATAAATGACACAATATTGTCAAACTCAGATATTATAAATGCTCCACATTTTATAAATGGTACACGTCCAGAAGGAGACATATATTCAGCATTGCTTCTTGTTTCTAATTGGAAGTCAATTTTGCACATTCTGAGAAAAGCTTGTACAGCTAAACAATTTGCACTGTCAGGCAATAATATTTGTTCAACATCATATGGCTGATATACAGTAATTTGTTGAGGCCATGGATCTTGAGCTAAACAAGAAAAATATAATACATTTTAATAAGTTTAAAAAATATAATTTATGTTTATTACTATGTAGATGTCTAGGAGAAAGTCTAATAGTAAAAGAAAGACATATTATTTTTCTATATATGATAAAAAAATCTAATATTACATATCAATATATTAAGAAAGAAATAATACACAAGAGGCGAAGGTTAAGTTTGATACATGCTGTAAATGGAATTTAAAATCATTTTCAAAATAAATTATTACCTACCTTCTAATCCTAAAGCAATGGTATCTGCTAACAGAGCCGATGGCATTTTATTTAATTAACTGTAATACAAACAACGATGAAAATTTAATTCTTCCGTTCTGTTTCGAACTTTGATAAATGACAGAACAAACGAGTGCTAGATCATGTAAGAAATTTTTAGTACAATTCTTTTATTTCACAGCAAAAATTAGTAGGGGAGTTATCAGAATACATGCGTGAAAATTAACGTGTAAAATGTTTAATAGTAAATGTTAAAATGATGTAATATAAAAATATTTGAAGAACAAATTTATGGTATATGTATAAATTGAAAATTTTATTAGTCTATTCAATAAAAATTGAAGTTATTAAACAATATTCTTCTTAATTTATATATTTTATTTTATAAAACTCCAAATAATACATAATGATATTTTAAAAAAAATTTGTTTTAAACGTTGTATCCTGTTTCACAAGAGATCGTACCTGATGTGCGCAACGTGGCTAATTTCAGTAGACTCCCCACTATTTAGAATTGCTCCGCTTTCATCTTGGCGGATTATAGACACGATGGACAAAAATACGAATAACTGAAAGAAAAATAAATTAGGCTTGTTTAAGATTGAAGATATGAATACGTAAAGACTTTACAACTTTAAAAATTGAGAATTTGCAAACTCTGAAACTCGAAATCGCGAGATTTGAAAATTTAAAAAGTTAAAAATTAAAAATTTGGGAATTTACAAATTTGGCTCACTGAGTATGTGTATTTGCCGTCAGAAATTTTATAAACGCACAGGCGCATTGCTGTTGGATACGGAATGTTTCTAGTCAATCAGAATTAATATGCGCAGAACGAATAAAAATTTGTCGTATGATAAGTATGGTCTTCCGTTCAACAAACTATAGGTGAGTTTCCGCGTCGGAAACGATGAGCACGATTCTGCGCGAGAGGTAGTGCGCGGTAAACAGCATTCTCTTGCTCTTTTAAACACAGCAAGATGTCGAAGAGAGGTAAGTTGTTTTTCAAGGGGAGGAAGAATCTAAAGAAATCCGTCTAAAACTAAGTTACAAGTTCGAAATGATATGTGCGAACGTTGAACAAATGTTTGCGGTGAACAGCAACAGAAAAAGTTTTATTGTTAATAATGATCAAAACTGGGAAAATTGATGATTGTATCAGAAACAAATACCGTGTTAGACATGTCCATCGATAGTAAAAATTAACATGAAATTATTATTCTTTAAGGACGTGGTGGTTCAGCAGGAGCAAAATTTAGGATATCACTGGGTTTACCAGTTGGTGCAGTTATAAATTGTGCCGATAATACTGGTAAGTATTTGAAAAACAAGATGATGCATAACCTTCAATGTGAATCATGTTATGGTTGAGATTCTCACATGGTTAGGTTGTCATTTCAATAACTCATTTAAAAGTAAAACATAGCCTGCTAATAATTTTAAATACAGATTACCTATAGATTTAGAGATGCTCAATATAATTTAATGCTTATAATATATTAACTATATCAAGCTAGGCATTTATATTTTAGTTGTAACTTAGATGATTTCATATATCTTTAAAAACAGCTCACTTTATTTGACATCTAAATCAAAATATATAATAGCATAGATTCTGTGGTGGATAATAAATATTTTATTTCTTAGGTGCCAAAAATTTATATGTCATCGCAGTTCAAGGAATTAAAGGCAGACTAAACCGTTTGCCGGCAGCTGGCTCAGGTGACATGATTGTTGCTACTGTTAAAAAAGGAAAGCCAGAACTTAGGAAAAAGGGTAAATATTACAATCACATATAGTTTTAACTCACAGTACTAATATAACTATTTTGAGAATCTACATATGTGTTCCCATACATGTATTCTTAGACTGTACAATTAGTATTTCATAGATTTCACAAATTCGTTTCAAAGTATTGTGATCTATTAATAGCATCAGTAATATATTAATATGTATAAATAATAATGGTTTTCATTTTTCCTATCTAGTTATGCCTGCAGTCGTAATACGGCAACGGAAACCATTTCGAAGGAAGGATGGGGTTTTTATATACTTTGAAGACAATGCAGGGGTAATCGTGAATAATAAAGGTGAAATGAAAGGATCAGCTATCACAGGACCTGTTGCTAAAGAATGTGCGGATTTGTGGCCCAGGATTGCATCCAATGCTAGCAGTATCGCTTAAACATTCTCTATAAATTTATTGTCCTTAATAAAATATATTTGAGCATTTGCTCATTACTTTTTCCTGTATTTTTTCTTTTTTAATTTTCCTTTACAGTGGCTGTGCAATAGTCATACCAGAAAAATTTTACAGGAGTTTCATCAATAATCTCAGCAGTTGAAATGGAGAACATAAATAAAATATATTGAAGAGTAGTTAATGTCAGATAATGACATATTCACAATTTAATATTATATATTTTTAATAGAAATATTATAGAAAGTGGTATACATAGATAACATGGTGTATTTTTGGAACTATTTTTCAGTCTTTAAGTATAATTAATTTTTGGACATGTGATGGCAAAGCAGAACTAAGGATAGCATCATAGATGGATATATTGTTTCAAGATGAATAAAAATTTAATGGTCGAGAGGAAGTGATACTGTTACATGTATTTTCCAAATACAAAGGTATCTATGTAACACTTTGTACATATTTTTATAAAAACTAGCAATTTCAAAACTTCATGGAAAATTTATCAAACAAAGAATTAAAAACACTTTATTTTACAGTATTAATAATATTCAAATTCTGCATATGTTTGAAGAGTTTAATTTGGTCAAGATTGCATTGATAGAGTAAGTTGGTCTGCGTCGTTCTTTATCCTTGCTATCGTGTCTGAAATAGAAGATGATGTATTTGAAGTAGTTCCGTAAAGATCTTCGTCCGCGATTTGGACAATTATTTTGCGAATTTCGCTTTTTAATCTAGCTCTATTAAAATCCGATTTTAAAGATTTTAATTCTAACGCTACATATTGGCCAAACGTATCGTAATCATTGGGCTGTTTTACGAGGGTTTCGAATGCCAATTTAAATAACTGATCCCTAATATTATCATCTTCGCGCTTGTGTTTTTTCTGTGGTTGCACGAACTGAATTGTTTCATCCTCTTCACTTTCTGCATTCTTATCGGTCGTGTATTCTTCTATCTCTGCTTTCCGTTCAACCTGAGGACAATGATTTATGGTAAAACAAAACTGTTTATTGCAATATTATAAACAGTCCATTATTTTTTAAGGAGAATATATTTTATTTATAACAAAATCTTTTTTTAAACTCTGTTGAATAATGGATAATTTTTACTTACAACAGGCGCTGATGCGTTCGTGTGTGAAGATTGTGTCATATTTGTACAAAGTACAGGAATCAAAAATTTCAGGGCAGAAAAGTACGGCCAGTTTGAAATATCCATCTCATCTGTTCCATTTCTATTTTTCTTCTTCACCATCTTTCTTAATTCCTGTGACATCTATAATTTCCATAATTAAGTATGGATGTTCCATTAATTTTTATTTACTTAATTACCTGGTTCCTTAAATTATGCAACTTTCGTTGTATCTCTTCTGACGAACATTGAAAATTTTCCGCCATTTCTTGTATTATTTTATTTTTTCTGTCTCGATTTCTGTATTCACTGTTTTTTACGTCCCATAATACCGAACTCTTCTCATAAATACTGATCAAATTGAAGGTCTCCTCCCTCGACCATTCTTTTCGTACAGTCATTTTTTAATTTATTACATCTAAAAATTCAGATGCAAAAAATTTGTATATCTAATTTAGTGTACATTCAATTATTATATTAGAAAATTAATTTTAATGAAACGTAAGAGGATAAACTTTAAGATACGACTGTCCATTGTTTAATACATCTTTATATTTTCTAGAAAATCATCATTAAAATATTATTATATATAAAAAATTATACAGTGAACAGTTTATTATATAGTAATAGAACTTCATGATCTGCCATCTCTACCGTATGCTGTAATCTGCTGTGAAGCTTACCAAATGCGTCGACACCTCTCCAGTAGTTCTTTCGACAGTACTCTCAGGATTTGAAACTGCTCACTATTTCGAGAGCAGCTCTCCGATAGCGTTATTACCAAGTATAGATTTTTATGGAAGTTGCTACACGATCGCTCTCCGAGAGTTAAATCACGGTCTGACAGCTACTCTCATTAGCAAGAAATACTCTCGATAGTTTCTCGCTTGTGTTGCTCTCGAAGGAAATGGTATCATCAAGGTACATTTTCACGTGATCCACAGGAAGAAGAAGGAACGAATTTGGGGTAATAAAGATAGAATTTAAGAGGTATAGCTGTCTTTCTTCCGTCTGTAGTATCCTATAGTAAATTTAACATTAAGAATGTGTACAAATTTATAATGTAAAACTTAATAAAATTGAATTGTATGAACACATATGTGTTGTTTCTTTTATTAGAATTAATTGTCTCTTTCAACCATAGTTATCACTTCTTACTTTTTTTATCATATACGTGAAATTAAGAATTATAATTGAATATATCTTACTGCAGTTGGTAAGTAGTTAACATCGGTGTACAGTCGGTAAATCATAACCATCATCGTGCAGTCGGTAAGTAGTTACTATCAAGCTGTAGTTACTGACAAGCGGTATATACGAGTAATTTTGAATAATTAATTACACGTTTTGTGGATATATTTTGTACACTTTTATGATTGAAGAATGGTCAGCAATGCATTATTTACATGGTTCGATCATAAAAGTTCACAAATAATGTTCGGGTAAAGAGTAATTAATTATTTTGTGTCAGCATTCCGATACGTACATGAGCCACATGTGTCAATTCTACTGCGCATGCAAAGTGCAATATTTCGGCACTTTGACGACGTAGTATGGTTCCTGAGGCATTTAGAAACAAATTTCTATTAGGGTTTGATGCGTTTTGATGCCTAATAAAGCTAGGAAATCAATTTTTGTAGAATTCGGTCCAAAACGGTACAAGTGGCGCCATCTAGCGGCGAGCGGCGGAACTACGGAAAACTAAAATCTCGATTTTCTCGAAAACTAGGGACTTATCCGAAATTCTGAGATATACAAATTGTTCCTTGTCACCTACGGAATCTAACGAATGTAATTATAGCCTGCTAGGACCATTATTAAAGAAAATAGAAAAATAGCCCATTTCATGGACTAAAAAATTGCCGTCCATCTAGCGGCGAAAGTTGGAACTACAAAAATAGAAAATCCCGATTTTCTCGAAAACTAGGGACTTTTCCAAAATTCTGAGATACACAAATTGTTCCTAATCACCTACGGAATCGAACGAATGTAATTATAGTCTGCTAGGACCATTATTAAAGAAATTAGAAAAATAGCCCATTTCATGGACTAAAAAATTGCCGTCCATCTAGCGGTGAAAGTTGGAACTAATCGGAAAAAGTCCATGAATTACACCTTTTTCTAAATTCGTTATTAATAGTGCTAACGTGTTATAATGGTATTCTATCGATTCTCTAGGCGACAAGGAACAATTTGTATATCTCAGAATTTCGGAAAAGTTGCTAGTTTTCGAGAAAATCGAGATTTTCTATTTTTGTAGTTCCAACTTTCACCGCTAGATGGACGACAATTTTTTGGTCCATGAAATGGGCTATTTTTCTATTTTCTTTAATAATGGTCTTAGCAGGCTATAATTATATTCGTTCGATTACGTAGGCGACAAGGAACAATTTGTATATCTCAGAATTTCGGAAAAGTCTCTAGTTTTCGAGAAAATCGAGATTTTCTATTTTTGTAGTTCCAACTTTCACCGCTAGATGGACGCATGGACGGCAATTTTTTAGTCCATGAAATGGGCTATTTTTCTATTTTTTTTAATAATGGTCCTAGAAGGCTATAATTATATGCGTTGGATTCCGTAGGTGACAAGGAACAATTTGTATATCTCAGAATTTTGAAAAAGTCCCTAGTTTTCGAGAAAATCGAGATTTTCTATTTTTGTAGTTCCAACTTTCACCGCTAGATGGACGCTTGAAAAAGTCCCTAGTTTTCGAGAAAATCGAGATTTTAGTTTTTCGCAGTTCCGCCGCTCGCCGCTAGATGGCGCCACTTGTACCGTTTTGGATCGAATTCGACAAAAATTGATTTCCTGGCTTTATTAGGCATCAAAACGCATCTAACCCTAATAGAAATTTGTTTCTAAATGCCTTAGGAATCATACTACGTCGTCAAAGTGCCGAAATATTCAGTTTTTTATTTTCCTTTTGCGCATTTTCGGACCCTCATTTTTTAGGTTTAGTTCACCCGTTTCGTTCTAGTCGGACCTAGAGGCTTTGTTCTTGAAGAATCATGCTCGAAACTTTCATTCTTGTGTCACAAAATGTGGCGGGAAACGGTATTGGGAGTATACCATCTAGCATATTCTGTTATCCTGATACCAGGAGGTAGAATCGGCGTCGTCCATGTCCCCGCCATGTTAACCTATCTACAGCACAACGTGTTTGCGCATGGCATACTGCGCACAGTTCTGCGCAGGTTACTCTGTGCATACGTGCCACCTCCTCGTATATCATGTTATCCTGCTACCAGGAGTAGAGTTTGGACCTGTCGATCTCCCCACTATGGTACCTCAATAACCATTACGCATCAGTTATGCGCATGGTGTTCTGCGCATACTTCTGCGCAGCTCGCACTTAGCGCCACCTCTTTGGTCATCCTACTATCCTGCTACCCAATAGGCTCCTGATACCAGGAATCCATAATGAAAGTAGGTGGGGCAAACTCGTATCGCCGTGCCACCTCTTATGACATCCTGCTATCCTACTACCAGGAGATCATTTTGAGCAAATGTAATCATACTTGACGATATGAAATAGACATGGCGACGATGACGTCTAACTTGAAGAGGCTCTATAAATGCATAATTATTAGTTTAATAAATATTCTTATAAAAATTATGAAAAAATTAGGGAATATATTTTAAACCTTGCTCTTTCTGTTGCAATCATAAATTGTTAGAAATTATTCCTGTGTGCGATAAAATAAATAAAAATTTAGCTCTGATGGAGGATTGCATAGTGTATTACGTTAATATAATAATTAATGATTAAATAATTGGAAATGAAATTTGTACAAAAGTGGGGTTAAATAATTCCTCAATTATCATTCTTTAAGAATTGATCGTAAAAGTTCAGATTTTAGTTGTGGTATAGTTGTAATTAATTATTATTTCTGAAAGCATAGAGTTTATAGGAATTGGCGGGAAAGTGGTGATTTTGTCGGATACCTCCTTGCATATTCTGTGATCCTGTTACCAGGAGTAATTTTCGAACCCAGCGATTCCCCTACCAGGCTACCTTATCTTACCATTGTGTCTTGTTCGTACAGAGTACATGCGTGCCACCTGTTTACACATTCTGCTATCCTAATACTTCTGAAGCCATAATATTAGAAACATATAACTAAAATTAACGTCACAAATTCATTAATTTTGCATAAACTCCTTGATTGTTCTATTATCTTGCTACCATGGGAGCAATTTGAGCAAATGTTATCGTATTTGACGACGTAAAAATAGACGTTTCATGATGTGCTCCTTTCACGGGAAATGTCAATTTCAGCAATAATAGGTAACAAAGATCTATTATGTATTATGTGTTACTTAATAACTAGTTTGAATATTAACTTATAACTTTTCTTGTTATCATGCTTCCCTAATAAAACATCTCAACTTTCTTCTCGTATCTTATTGATATCCGATTTGTTATTGTTTTCTTAAAGGGTAATGGATAGGAAAGGTTAAGTAAACTGTAGACGTTTTTCCTTTTGCTTTATACATTTATTCAAATTTTTCATGGTACAATTAGTGTGTACATTCACTGTACTTCATTATGTCACTATGCTGTAATTCTACTACCTTTTTGTTCTATTTTATCCGTTCGTACTCAGGTGTTCGTAACGTTGAGGCGGGGATTCACAGCACCTCTCCTTGTTGTGAAATATATCGCTCTCTTTATTTATACTGAAACTCTTCCCGTCTTCCCACTTCATGTCCTTTGTTCATTATGTTTACATGTATCCAACCGTAACTGTAACTGTTTTACTGTCTTAAATTTTGCAGATGTGTTAATCCAAATCCATTCAAATCAAGAGGACTACCTTATTCTTTCAAATATATGAGAAAATTATGGCTTATAGCAATCATCAGAAGGTAAATTTAATTATATATTCTTTATTTTCTGTTAATTTTCTTTATTATTTACTGTATTTGTATACTTTTAATTAGTCCAAAGCAAGAAAGCTCGCTATAGAGACTCAACAATATTGTTATGAACATCTCCCTGACTGGTTAGAATACAACTCTAGTGATCGTGACTATATAAAACATCAAATTGGATATGCTCTTTTTGGATGTCCTCAAATTGAAGAAAGTAAAAACTCAACTACTCGTAAAGTTTCAACTGTAAATAATTATCAGGGGAATGACTTACTTGGCAGAATAACATATGATACAAAGTCGTGTAAAGTTATTGAAAAAATATACCAACAAATAATTCAGCATGGACGAAATATAAATAACAAATATTATCTGGGAATTATATATAATGCACTAGTATTATCTCAAAAACCACAAAAGAAAGCGAAAGAAGCAGGTGACGAGTTGAAAGAGGAAGCAAATCAGATGTGCGTAGTACCAGTGTTTAAAATTAAGAAAGATTTGCGCACAGTATGGTATATCGATAATGAAGGCAGAATATATCAAAACTGGCAAGATTATCTGGAAAACAATACGTTACCCAAGTGTACTATGTTCTTACCCAAGGATGGAGTTTATCAATGTAATCCACACTGCAGAGTAAGTGAATACTCTTCGCAAGTATGGGTCCAAGAATTGAACTCACCTGCTTGTGCAGTTAAAAAATCAGTCCTCACAGCTCTCGATGTTGCTGCCAACACATTATCATTAGGTGCTGGCATTGGATTGGGTGTTGCTACTTTTATGACACCAGTTGGACCAGCATTAATGACTGCAGGTACAGTTTTCTGTTTCTTCTAAATCAGTTAAAGTACAAGATTTATTAACAGCTTCTATTTTTTAGGTCTTGTTGCTACTGGCATAAGTGGAACATGGAGCATTGCCAGAGGCTCACAAAAATTAATCGATTACTCAGCGCACAAACAATCTATCAGTCCTATGAATAAAAATGCATTTTCTGCATGGCTGGATGTGAGCAGCTCAGTATTAGGATTAGGGGCTAGCGGAGGTTCAGTACTTCTATCTAAAACCGCAAAAACGGTTGCACAAGGCAAGAATATAAGCACTGTCGCTAAAATAGCGCATGATTCAGTGGTAGTAAGCAATTTAGCTGTTCGCGGAGTCGGTGTACTATTCGATGGTTATTGTTTAATCGACAAGTACAAGGAGGAGAAGAAAATCGATTTTGCTGATGTGACCGTCTTTATTTCTCACGTGTTATTTTTCAGTAACACTGTGATCAATACTAAACTGGCTAACGAGCTCATAGGAACATGGAGGGGTACTATTTTTGAAAAGTTTAAAAATGCTTTACGTTTCAACCGTTTAAAAGAGGAGTTCAAAAGGTTCACAAACTTTAACAAGTCAAGTCAAAGCAATTCAGAAGGTATCACGTATAGACTCAGAAATGCTGTGAGCTCGGAAGACTTTTTGAAAGGTCTGAGCGGCACAAACTGGAATCCAAAATTGCATATAACGTATGAGGGTGGCAAAGTTATTCTGAATAACATAAAGTTGATAGATCCTATGGTATTTATGGGACACATGTTGACAATTGGTTCAATAGGAATTAATTTAATACAGTCAGGTATATTGGAGGACATAAAAGATGCAGGCGACAGTGTATTTCGTAAACTAAAAATTGTTCTTAGTCGTTTACTACAAAAATTCTTCTTGGACAAGTTAAATACAGAAAAATCTCTTGACGTTGATAATTTTGATGATATGTTGACAGAAATGAAACATGTAACCAATGCCAAAGATATTTTAATCAAGGTCTTTAAGGTTTCCACGATTGTACTAAGTCGTTGTAACAGTCCAGAACAATTTTTACGCGAAATGCTTTATTTTTTGTGGACATATTGTAAAGTAACTTTAAAGGAGCATGTTAGAAACAATGACTGCAATAACAGCAATTCGACAAACGATGCACTAGCTAAGATTGTAACGTGTTTGTATGACTATGTTGATGCGATAGGTGATGATTTATTCACTGCTTTTTATACTTACATATCTAATCGTGAAAGACCCCTAGAATCTAATTATGACTATTATTAAACTATGTACATATTAATTTAGAAACATGGAATCATGTATTAGAAAAATATTTTGAAATGTATAACAATTAAAATAATTTAAACATATTGTAAGGAAACTAGAAGACTGTCCAAGATGTATTTTTACATTTGCTAACTGTAGATATTGTTTGTTGAATAAAGACATTACGTTGCACAGAAATGAAGGCATTCATTTATTTTTCGTTTCTCCCAAATATTTTGGATACATCTCACACAAATATATACAGACGATACTGAGCACATTTACAATTTCTTTCTTTCTGAATCATTGGTCACGTTTATAAAGACACATCCACAAAGCTAGCGTTACACAATAGTCGTCGATTAAAAGAGTGTGACGACCCGTGAGTATCGTGGTGCGTTTTCTCGAAAATAAATTAGACCTAAACTAATTTACCCGAATAAATAAGGATAATAGAATCGCTTGGAGAGTATTGATTCATCGTTTGTCCTTTGGCAAACGACGATAATACTGACCCACCAATTAAAAACGTACGGTTTCGACCGAAATAATTTATCAACGTTATTTATAAATACGAAGTGAAATCCATAGCTATAAATACATAATATAGTTTCAATTTTTATCTACAAAAATGTCGTCCATGAGTACTTAGGTACACGAGCGTTCAAATTGTAGTAATTCATTTAATATTTCGTCGTACAGGCATGACCAAGGTATAATTTTATAGGGGAGAAGGGGTTACAATTCCCTACAGCACAGAAAATACTAAACCCCAAATTTTTAAATTCCTCAATTTCCTACTAAGTCTTAAAATTTCTAAATATTACCAATCTTCCAAATTTCTAGATTTCTAAATTTGAAAATACAATTGGTCAGTAAAATGATACAATTAGTAGGGTTACTTGGTGACGCCTGTGGACCATAACACTCTTATCGTCAATAATTTATAATAATTAATAATCAATATCACGTACACGGCTGTATAAACGCGTTAATCTTTCTCCTTAAATAGTTCGCTAGCTTTCTTAACAATGATTAATAATTAATAACAGCTTTAATGAAATTCATTGAAAACTGTCTCTGGTCTAACGTGACGATTACAATCGCATAAACAGGAAAATTTCTCCGTGTGCGTTCGAAGAAAGAAAAATACAATATTTCTGGCGTTACTGTTGCACTCTCCACGTGGTTTATGTACAAATATATCACGAACGTAGAAAAACACGATAACGAAAGGTGCAGAGAAAAAATAGAGAAGCTTCATCGAGATCGGAGCTTGATTATTACGCGTGTGCGATTAGAAAAAAGGGTAAACGCAGAATGTATACGTATATTTTAATTTCATTTCTTATGTTTAAAACTAATCTCGTAACTTGGTCGTCGACTTTATCGTTCATAGAGATTTCGTCGATCGTTTTCCGCTTTACCGCGATTATTCTCGAGATACAATTACTGGAATGTACGAGTATGGTTCGAGAAGTTAGAACGCGGATTAGGAAGCCCATCAAGCTTCTCTCGGTTGGCAATATTTCAATAAACGGATGCGAATATCACGTTTATAATCGTCAGTCTGTTGTCTTTTGTTATGCGGATTATCTTAGAGTGTAACATTCAGAATAGTCTTTTGTTGAACACTGGAAATCCGGTTTAGGTACAGCTTTTTGCGGATTCTTATTACAGCAAATTTCATGAATTTAACCCTTTCAATAACTCTAATATTAGTCAAATGTTTTGTGCAATTTAGACTTCTAGTTTAGGTTAGGTTAGCTTCTGGTTTAGGGAAAGTAGTTTAAATAATTCTAGAGCTAACTTGGAGAAAATTTGATAAAAATATGGAACCTGGAGAGATCTCTGAAAAAACTTAGAGGAAAGTCTAAGTAAAACACGAGAGCATAACGGATAGATCTAAAGCTTGGAAGAGCTCAAAACTTAACGTAGAATCTCACAAATGAAGTTACATATAAAGTGTAGAAAAAGCTTTTACATATTAATATAATATGTAGAAAAAGTTTTTATATATGGACTATTTATTTTGAAAGTGGTGTAAAGCCATTTGCATGAATATACATTTTAGTTAAATCATCTAAAACAAATTTGTATATTCAAATTACATATTGATCAATCAGTAAAAAAATTGCTGAATTGCCAGTCTTGATTAACCTATATTTTTACATATAACCCTTAATTTTCTCAAAGTGAAAAAGGACACCACTTTCAAAATGATCCATATTTAAGAATATAATTGAGTATAAAGAAAGAGAAGTAAGCTGTTTTCCCTTCAACTAAGATAATCCTAAATTGCACAAGTCTGAACATTCTCCAAGATCTAACATATTACATAACATACCAATATTTATAAACCTGTCATCGAGTTAATTCGCAGACACGATGTATCAAAAAATAGTACAATTTCAAAGCAAAGATGCGGTGAAAGGGTTACATTATAATCTGACAAATTCATTACAATATTAGCCGCACCGTTTCGACCGAATCCTGCAATCTATCAACCTCTAAACGTATCACGGTCGATTAACGCGTGATCACCGTCTCTGTCGAGCTAAGCTAGGTAAGTCCTAGGATTCGACTTGGGGTTGCCAGAGTCGTCCTTGGTGGTGCAGGACCACGCCTCCTCGGCCAGGCTGCCGTATCTCTGCACCCCTGGGAAGGGTGGTCCCGTACTTTGCGGCGAGTAATAACCACCCTTAAGCTGATAATAGTTGCCGGTCTGATACTGGTACTGATCGGTCAGAACGTTGCTGTAGCCCGAGTACGAGCTGTACTGCGAAGGAGAGTACGAGGAGGGGTATCCTCGTTCGCTCAAGCTTCGATAAGGCCCCGGATGTTGGGGCCTACCCTCCTGTCAGACGGGCGTGCTAACTGCTGCGCTGGTTATGTAGTCGATATCGCCTATGCTCTTCACTCTGCGGTGCCTCTTGTTACCGGTGATGGGTCGCGGTGGCAATTGCGGCGGCGGTGGTGAATTGCTTCGGGCGCTGCTCATGTACTGGCTCGCCAAACTTCCGGTGTCCGACGAGGACGACGGCGACGCCTTCTCGCTTCTGGGTCGGAGACCGAACGCCCGACTCAACGATCCCTGCGGAAACATGGTTAACACTGTTAGAACTTTGACATTTCGGGAGCTTCCTCGAGGGGGAATAGCTACCGGTGATTCTAGGAGTTTGCGAAATTGGGTTTTGATACCAAGTTTCCGAGTGTTAGAGAATTAAGTGTTAACAGGAGTGCATGAAAGTCGAAGGAAAATTACTTACTATGTTTCTTGACATAAAACGGCTGATTGTTGAAGTGAATAATAGTAACAACTAAAGATGTATTTCATGACAAGTACAGGGTGTCTCACAACTAGTGTTAATCCTTAAAAGAGGTGACAGAGGATGTCATTCTGAATAAGATTTCTCTTTGCAAAAATGAGGTTTGATGCCGTGTTTCGCGAGTTGCGCACGCAGCCGTTTAGGCGCGAAACTATCTCGCGTCTGCGCATGCGCGATCCTCGCGTTCTGATTGGTTCGCGTTTTTCCTTAATAATTCAAAAACGAATCTTTCTATCGCATTTGTGCAAAGGGAAATTTTGTTCAAAATGACGTCCTCTATCTCCTCGTTCAGAGAGTAACACTACTTACGAGAATCAATGTATCAGTATACAATATAGTGTTTGAACAAAAGAAAGTACATTATACACTGCAAAAATTAGTAACTAACACTCGGAAGTTTCTAATAAGATGGTGTTTCAAGATGAGAACTAAAAAATGTGAGGTGATTTCTCTGTTGGAAGCTAAGGATGCACGTGCAGCCATACAATCAAAATTCTACATTTTCATTTGATAAAATGAAAAAACTACCAAAGAGAAATAAGTGCAAAATTAAAAGTGAAATTGAATTTCAGAATTCTCTTTGTGACTAGATGACTAGTGATCATCTAGTGACCAATGATCGTCAAAAAACTGAACGAAAAATTTCAGAGTAAATAGCGAAAAGTAAAATAAATCATGGCACGCAAATAGATTATGGGCGCATACCTGTGAGCTCTTCCACGACAACTATTAAAGGACGAAACAAGGAAGATTAAGAACCCACGCCGTGAATTCCACATTGAAATCATCAGTTTATATTTACAATAATGGCTCGTTATAATTGTGTTAAGGTTGCTAAAAAATCGAGCGATTGCACTCTGATTTTTTTCTCATTCTTTCATTTCTCTTAATGCAATGTGCTCACTACGATAATGTACCCTTAAAAACAGGACACTCTGATTAACATACATGAAAAGGAGAGACGTGGTAACTGATCTGTTGCTTTATCTATGTACAGTGTTTACAGTGTGGCGGCGATACAATCAGCCTTCGAACGAGAATTATTTAGTAGGGTAACTAGGATTCGCGACGTTTCACTCGTAATTCATCAAACTTTACTTTACTTCACTAACAAAATTCTTTAAAGTATCTATATTTCAGCAGTGAACGCTGAAAATAATTCTTGCGATTCGTATTAAAAAATATTTAATTATTTCGATAGGAATTATTTTAAACATACTAGTCTTTCGTTTATAACTTATTACCACTTCAAAAAATTAATGTTATCATACAGAATCTCGTTACTTTTCTTTTAACATTAAAAATCGATGTTATTGATGTCAATGCGATGAGATTCAAATACGTCGCTGCGCAGCGGTCTCCGCGCATGCGCAGCAGTCTCCGCGCATGCGCAGTAAAGCGCGCATACTTCGAAAAAAGACTCCGAGCGTCACCTACTAGTTTCCAATAATTTTCTTTAACAAAACTGATTCTACAAAAGCGAAAAGAGGTTGTAAATGTCGTTCGATGAATTACGGATCTAAAACTTGAATTTTCCGTGTAAATTCGACTAAGTTAAGCTCATGTTTGCGAATATCGCGAGATAGAATGTCTCTTAAAGTTTCTACGAGATACACGCTGCGAATCGTTTACAAGTTTTACAAGTACAGGGAGAGGTTTCTACGATAACAGGCGAGTCATTTTTTCCAAGAAAATACCATTCAAGATTCGACGAATGTCGCGCTCGTCGTACCAACGACGAAAGTTTGAGAAGAATTTATTTTTGAGGTACGATCGAGATCGAGAGTCGTCTAAATTTCAGCGGAGTGAAAAATGTTGAAACCACTTCGCTAAAATTCAGATTCACGAGGAGACATACGAGATCGTACGATGTCTCTTCGAAGAAGATGAATATCTACGATGTTTCTATCGAAAACACGTAAGGTTCACATAGGTTGAAACTTTGAAAAAATATCGAACTTTGTTAAGAGACTATCTTGTCAAAAATTTAACCCTAGAGAAAGTGTTCGAGGGTTTACTTATCTAAGGAAGATTAGCACAGAAGAAATAAAAAATAGAGAAAAAAAATGGCTACTTTTTGACCCAAATTCCAGGGTTAACGAAATATTTTGTAAATTCAAAGAAAATATTTAAAAAAAAGCAATCAGTCCTTACGCATTTGTTTCTCAAAGTTTCCTCAAAGAATTCAAAGTTTAAAACTTGCGTAATTGTAAGTAAGTTCATAGAGGAAACTTTGAGAGTCTCGCAAACTGAACTGTTAAAAAAAGAAGAGTTGATACACGCAGAGCGAAAGAAAGGATAAATAAATACAGAAATATACATATACGTATATATAAATATATACATATATACCGAACCTTTTTCAAGTAAAGAAGGCTGCAGGTCTGCGACGATCCACAGGATGCAGGGACAATGATTAACGTTAGGTCGAGCTCATAGCTCACAGCTTTTAATCCTCGTCGGACAATTCTATGTTGCGGATACAGATACTCTCAAATTACATATTTCATTACTGCAAAATTTTCTATTTGTGGAATTTTTAATTTTTAGTACTTGAATGTTTATTTTGGATAGGTTCCTAAATAGCAGAATACTCAAACATCCAAGTTTTAGTATTTTAAGATTCAAATTTTAGTATTTTAGTATTTTACTATTTTAATATTTTAGTGTTTCAATATTTCACATTTCAACATTTTAGTATTTCAATATTTTAGTATTTCAATATTTCACATTTTAATATTTTACTATTTCAATATTTTAGTATTTCAATATTTCACATTTCAATATTTTACTATTTCAATATTTTAGTATTTCAATATTTCACATTTCAACATTTTAGTATTTCAATTTTTCAATGTTTTAATGTTTCAATGTTTCAATGTTTCAACATTTCAGTATTTCAATGTTTCAATGTCTCAATGTCTCAATGTTTCAATGTCTCAATGTTTCAATGTCTCAATGTCTCAATGTTTCAATGTTTCAATGTTTCAATGTTTCAATGTTTCAATGTTTCAATGTTTCAATGTTTCAATATTTCAACATTTCAATGTTTCAGTAATTCAATTTTTCAATATTACAGTATTTGAACATTTCAATAATTTCAATTTCAACCACAGTTAAATTGTATTCTGTATTTCCGCAAGATGAAAATCGTCGTCGACAAGGATTAAACTTTCCAGGACATAATCGAAACGGGGAAATTATTTTTGATGGAATGCTGCTCGAGCGTCCTTACCTAAGCGATGCCATGCAATCGTGCCAATAAAAAATGAACCAAAAGAATATGTACAACCAAAATAAATCAATATGACAGCACTTATGAAATGTGCGTGATAGTCAATGATTGCTCGAATCATTCTTTAATAACATTCATTGTTTCAACAAACTCGAGCAATTATTGTGAACTTGTGATTATGTCAACGATGACTTTCTATATTTTTATAAATATACAAAATGTTTCATACAGAAAGTCACCTATGACGTGAATAATTAATCACGATTTTCGAGGCAGACTTCTTCCATTTATCTACTTCCAGTGTTAAATGCCACCATTTTGTTCAAACTGAATAGGTTCTATGTAGGAGTCTTTTGGATTCCTTACAATTGGATTTCTTGTCGATCTGACACGAGTTCATTGAGCAACGCTGAGTCAGCATCTTTCACAAACGTACGCATTTCTTGGGAAACATGTGGGTCAAGGAGGTTCGTTCACTTCCACATTTCAGATATTTCTGTAACATTGATTTCTCCAGATCCACTTCAAACAAAAGACTCCTATATTAGAAAGACACATATTCAATATTTTAACTCCCTCTTTACAATGTTATATATAATATATAAATATATAAATAATATGTAATATATAAATAAACAATACTGTGGTTATTTGATCAATTTTTGATACGTAGCATTTTTTATAAGTAATACTATGTATTAATTTGGAGAACCCAGGTATCAAATCCTGGAGCTTGAATTTCAGATAAATCAACTGCTAAAAGAATCCAAAATTCAGCTGCACATGTCCAGATCAATACTCAATACTTCATATGTGTCCAGATCAATACTAATTTTTGTTACGTAGCATTTTTGATACGTAGCATTTTTGATACGTAACACCATGTATTAATTTGAAGAAGGTATCAAATCCTGGAGCTTGAACTCCACATAAATGAACTGCTAAAAGAATCCAAAATTCAGCTTCAAATGTATCCTGATCAGTACTCAATACTTCATACGTGTCCAGATCAATACCTCACATGTGTCCTACTATCCCTGCAACTGTAAATCCAATCAGTCTTCCTTAAAAGAGTCCTACTCTCAAAAGAGCAGAATATAACTAAAATTCTTTTTACATTAAATAAAAATAGAAGAAGTCTGCCAAGAGGGTGCATCGTAACGTGAAAAATCGATAATAATACCGCCGAGTTTCCGGTGCAGTGGTGAATGGACCAGAGGGTGTCTTTGAATCTATACGATACGTTACCCTGAGGCTGGATCTCCGTCTATCGACAGTTCCCGAGTGATTGGCGGTCATATGAAGGGCCGACAGGGAGCTCTGATGATGCTGAAGATGAAGGGCCCTGCTGCCACGACCGAGGCTACCGCCTGCGCTCACGGTGCTCATCGGACGACCCCCGGCTGTGCTGTTCCTCGGGACCACCTCCAGCTGACTTCTACACACACGCACACCACTCTACATGCACGCCTTTCTGCGTACACTCATCCTGACCGTTTATATCCACACACCTTGGTGACACCGCGGACACACACACGTTCGGCACGTTTTGCAGCGAACCTCTCTCCTTTTGGTACAATTGTACTTTCTCTATTTTATTTTGTTAGGCAACATTTTGAGTGTTTTGATATATCATATGGTATACTTGTGATATGATATGATATACAAGATGTAGTTGTGACAAGAGCAATGTTAAATGATATACAAGATATACTTGTGACAAGAGCAACGTTAATTTTTATATTCAACTTCTGTGGTAATGTCTGTGATAATATTCTGTGGTAATATCATGGTGTGTAATTAAAGATTCCATATGAGATTCTTGTGATAACTCATGCGTTGAGTTTGTAGGGCACTCAAAATGTTTGGAGGATGTGAAACTAAGTGCCTTGCGAAGGGAAGGTGTACATGGAATTTGGGATAGTGTTCTGATAGTGAAATTGAGGAAATTGACTTGTTAACTCTATAGAGGAATTTTAGATTGATAAAATTGTAGAGTTGAATTTAATGGAATATACAAGGTGAATCAATGCGTCAATGTTGAGACCATACATCAATTTATGTCTGAAATGATGGACTTGTAACCCAATAGTATAATTAGAATTGAGAGAAACAGCACAATAGTTCATACTTCTATGCCTTCGCTCTCCCAACAAGTGGAACTATGCAAAGATATTTTGTATACATAGATCTCACCTTGTACATCAGTTCAAATTCAAAATGAAATTGTACAACGCAAGAAAAGTATGAAAGGAATGTCCTGTGCAGGTGGAGGGATCTGAACTTTTGGCACACAAAATTGATCGTGATTCAGTTAACATCTTATTGAACAGTGGCTCGCTGCAAGTGCTCAACGATAGAACGAGATGTATCATAATGAATATCTAGTTACAACATAAATATACATACACAAGCATTTTGTGCACCATCGATATAGAAGAATGTATAATAATATGATTTACTGAATACCACAGATCAGGGTTGATCCAGCGGATCAACCCGGCATCGTTGGCTATTCAATCAGTTGGATTAAACACCGAACAATCAAAAAATGTAAATATCAAAGTTGGCAAATCAGAAAAAGATGAAAGGAATCATAATGCACGCTGGTGTGATCCGTGATTCAATTCTCTTAAAAAATAAATTAAATGTCTGATCAGTGCATGAAATTGTATAAAAAGATTTGAACTATCTTCTAAATAATAGAATGTACAAAGATGAATGATGAATTTTTGACAGTGAGATTTGATATGAATAGGATGGTTTGGTTAAACAGAACACGGATTACACCAGTATTACTAATATTAACGTGTGCTGTACATAGCGCAGTGCAGTGCAGGCGGCAGCTGTGGGCTACGGCTCAGCTATGAGAGACATTACCGATGGATCCGCGATCGAGTGGACTGCAGACCCAGCGAATCGCTGCGGTGCCGAGTACAATGTTTCAATAATGATAGTAATAATGATAATAAATTCCATCGAGTATACTGCATGTTTGTATATGTACATTATGTCGAGACTGCACTCAGGGCCGGCTTAACAGTAAATACGACAACGGGCGAAACCATTTTTGGCGAACCTTTAGCGAAACTTTGTAAGCTCTTTCAGAGGAAAATTTCCAAATTTTTAATCTCCTACATTCTTACATTTTTAAATTCCTAAACTTCCAAATTTTTACATTCACAAATTTTATGCAAAGGTATTTTGCTAATCCCCTGAATTAGTTTACAGAAATTTCGCTTTTTATATGGCGACGCAATTTTTTTCATTGGAATAATAGAAGTATCAAGGTGCCCTCGAATAGCCCCGGGCCATCGCCCGTTTCGCCCGTATATTCCGCCGGCTCTGACTGTACTGTACTGTATATACGTGTGTGTATTCCCGATATATCCAAGTATGGCGTGTGTATTACGGATGAGTACTTATATACTAAACCAACCACGAGCAAACTTGACTGCTTCGGAAACCTGTTCTGTCCGTTTCGCAATCGAGATTACTCAGGCCAGCATGCACAGTTACCTCTTTGCAGTTATTATCTATCTCATCATGCGTTTCTGCATTGTTAATCGTTTCGGTGCTCGTCTCCTATGTTGGATTAGCTAAGGTCTCTTATGATATGTACGATGTCCGATGTCAGTTTGAAATGAACCGATTACTTTGTGTTTGAATAAATGATAGAAAATGATAGAGGAAGTCTGTCAGAGAACCTTGTAGATTTGATAACATTTTCTAACTAAAAAGGAAGCAAAGCATAGCTTGTAAAGTTAAGTCTTCCTCTACTTAGAAATGTGAACGGTTCATCGTTTGATTTGTCTTTCAAAAGCAGAATCGATGTCTTAATTCTAATCGTGATTAAATTCTAAATTACCCTTTCTTTAATTCTTGATTATATACAATTTCCCGATAATATGTTTCTATTAAAAATGCTTCAACGGAAGCGGAAATTTTGATCTTAATCAACGCTAGTGCAAGTTACCTATTTTTTAAGCTCGCCCGATTGCTATTTACAGTCAATTAGATATTCTCCCGAATTTGAACGAACATTTTCAATGATGGATCAAAAGTGGAAACCCTGAAAAATTGAGGCCTATCGAGTAATTTCACAATAACCTATAAAGCTAAACTGCAAACTCTTCGTGGACTTACGTGTATATCTATTAGTAACCATTGTAAAATTTCTGAAGACTAGAAGTAACGTTGTAAATAGTTATCGCGTCGTTTTTATGCGTACAAACACGGATGATATACACTTCTGTTTTCTTCGTGTAGATAATTGACAAGTATCTCAGCGATATATTCTCTAAAATAGCTTTTTCTATGGAACACCGTAGATCCATGAATTTCTCTATCGGTATGAAACGATTACTTCATCGCTCGTTTGCAAATTATACTCATAAGCGATTTCCCTTTAAAGTATACCGATAAGCCATAATATTAATTGTCAAATGTGTCTGTTCTGAGTCATCGAATCTACCTTAATATATATTTGTCCCAGCCTGAAAGAGAGTATCACAAATAATATCCCATTGTAAAAAGAAACTTAAGGTACTCTCTTTCGAGCGAGAACTTAAATGAGAGCTCGAAGACGATGAATTGTGTTTTGCGACGTCGATCTCGTTTATTGCTAACGAGGTACGACGTTTATGTCGATTAGTGAGCGTTGTCCAATGTGGCCTCTGGATGATAGTAGACTGAGTACCTTGCTGGAACGACGAGGGCTTCCAATTCGGCGGTCAGGTGTCGTCTGATCATGTGCTTTGCTGGTGGTATACCCAGGGCAGTGGCCATCGTGTCGCCGGTGAATGATGGTTCTAGCACGACGAGAGCACCATGCACGCCTGAATCTGTTTTGCAAAAATATTTATTTTACCACTAGTTTAATTTAATTACATAAAAGTATTACAAGATACCATAGCTGATTTTACTCATGATCAATTACAGTTTCAATTTACAGTTTCAAGTCTGATGTAGCTATGTAACCTATTTATTAACATTGATGATATGATTACACTTATGGTTTATCAATCTTAAGTTTCAAGTCTGATGAACATAGCTATGTAACCTATTTATTAACATTGATGATATGATTCTCCTCATGGTTGATCAATTTTAAGTTTCAAGTCTGATGAACATAGTTATGTAACCTATTTATTAACACTGTTGATATGATTCTCCTCATGGTTGATCAATTTTAAGTTTCAAGTCTGATGAACATAGCTATGTAACCTATTTATTAACACTGCTGATATAATTCTCCTCATGGTTGATTAATTTACAGTTTCAAGTCTGATGAACATATATATGTAATCCATTTATTAAAATTGATAATGTAAAATGAGTAGACCAAACCATGACCAGCTTTGGAGTCTACAAAGTCTGATAAAATTTCATAACAGAAAAGTGTTATGAAACTATACTTGTAGCACATCAATTCAAAGCTGAAAGTCTAAGGAAAATGACTACATATTCATATACCTTTCAAATTCTCTGCGTATTCAGTTAGATCAATATTCCTAGCCCACCGAATGAACCTCTGATTCGTCCAAACCAACGGATCCGTGTCAACCTGCTCACACTGATGTCTCCTCACAGCAAGTGCCTGTGGAAACCCAAGATGTATCTCATGTTACAAAGTTAGGCTAAGCAACGAAGTACCTGACGATCATAGTTGAGCATCCGCAACAGATGAATGCCGTGCACGATGCTGGCCTGATGAAACTTTCTGGTCACACCGAGTAACTTCTCCAGTTCTTTTTTGCTGAGATGATCGAGCATCCGTGCGTCCACCATATTGGTAGCGAAACTTTCGGAATACTGAGCGAGACCAAGGTCGGGTAGCCATTCGGAGCTGACCCAGGTGTGACCCAGTTGTGCGATGCACGGATAACGAACGAGACTTGGGTGCCGATGTTCCTCGATGGCTAAACGCAACTTTTTCCTGTGGAGAGGGTGCGTTACTCCTAGTCCCGCTTCCAATTCTGCGTCGCTCAGCTCCAGCAAGACCTGCAGATTGTTAATAAGAATTAATAAACGTTGAATGACAAATTTGACGGAAGTCTAGGTTTACAGTAAAAAGGTTTATATGACTTACTTTTCCAGACTTAACATTTTCAGCGCACCGCGGTCCATACTGTGGCATTCCAAGGGCTACTTCTAACCAAGCGAGGACAGTGGGTGCCCTCCACCGCTCCATAGGCACGGATGCAGCTTCTCTGAGCAAACGAAGCTTCTCGGCATAGCCTTCCTCCGTAAGGGGCGACCATGATCGATAGGGATCAAATCCGTCCGAGCCCTCGTTACTTCCGCTTCCTCCACTCGAGTTATTGGCTGCTTTTCGATGTCGCGAACGAGCGAACACTCTGAAAATCGACACGACAAGACTGTCTTTGAGCTAGGAAGATGCTGTACATTACTGTGAAACCATTTAGGCTGCAAAATCAATAATCTTAAATAGTCAAGTTTGCACTTGTTTCTTTGGGATTCTGATGAAGTACTGAATGATAAGATTGAGGATCTTAAGAGGATCTTAAAAGAACTGATAAGATACATTGAGGATTAAAATCAACTTCACTGTTTCTTTCGCTCACAAATTTTTAGAGAAACCTACAGAACGAGTTATGCACTCAATCAGCTAAGAATTGCAACTCTTACCTAGAAATGGATCCCCACGTGCCTCCACGAGTGGCGGACGATCTCGAATGCGCAGCAGGCGCAGCGATAGGCGTGCTCTGTTTGTTCCTCCTAGGTTCAGACTCCAAAGGACTCGATAACTGTTCCACAGATCTTGACAACGACGAGTTGTCCATGGACCTGGAGAACGCGTTCAGAGGCGACAGCGTGGGACTGCAGTCCTTCGGTGTAGTCGCTGCTGAAAACCCAACGTGATTTATGAAGTCAGGATTCCTATACTCTATTAAATATTGTGGAAGCTTGATTATGCTTCTAGGATAAGTAGTTCTCCCTCGGCACCAGAAAACGCATTCCTGGTTAGGTTATTGTTACGACAGTTGATGCAACATAAAGAACATACAGCTCTGTTTGTTACTGTGAGACTTGAGGGCGATTTAATTTTTTTTATTGCAAGTATTGGTTTTGGGGAGTTGGGGATTTTGGGGATTTGGGGATTTTGGGGAGTTGGGACTTTGGAGAGTTGAGATTTTGGAGAGTTGGGACTTTGGAGAGTTGGGACTTTGGGGATTTGGGACCTTGGAGAGTTGGGACCTTGGAGAGTTGGGACTTTGGAGAGTTGGGACTTTGGGGATTTGGGACTTTGAAGAGTTGGGACTTTGGAGATTTGGGATTTTGGGGATTTGGGACCTTGGAGAGTTGGGACCTTGGAGAGTTGGGACTTTGGAGATTTGGAATTTTGGAGAATTGGGACTTTGGGGATTTGGGACCTTGGAGAGTTGGGACCTTGGAGATTTGGAATTTTGGAGAATTGGGACTTTGGGGATTTGGGAGCTTGGAGAGTTGGGACCTTGGAGAGTTGGGACTTTGGAGAGTTGGGACTTAGGGAATTTTGGGGATTTGGGACTTTGGGGAATTTAGTACTTTCGGGACTTAGTACTTTGAGGACTTGGGATTTTGTGGATTTAGGATCATCAGAACTTAGACATTTGAAGACTTGAAGATTTGGTGACTTCGAACATTAGGAACTTGGAATCTTGAGAATTTTGTGACTCAAAAATTCGATGTCCTCAGGATTTATTAATTTGGAAGTTTGAAAATTTCAAGACATAGAAATGTCAGAACTTGGGAATTTGGGATTAGTGAATTGTTACAATGTGAACATTTAGGAATGTGAAGATTGTAGAGCTTTGAAAATAGGAGGTTTAAAGAACTGGGGACTTGGAGGCTTAAAAATGTAAAGATATACGAATTTCAAAACTTGTGTATTTGCATCTTGTAAATTCATACAAAATGAAGATTTAGATATTTAGAAATAGAGGGTATAATGATTTAGGGTCACAGAGACTCGATAACTTTGGTTCTTGAGAATATGTACGTACAATATATGTTTAGGAGGTTTTGGAGACTTCAGACATAAGATTTGGAGATTGGAAATAAACTTAAAAAAAATGAAGGAAATTCAAGGAAATTCGTATACACAGAAACTCGAAAAAGAAATAGAAAAGTCATAAACCAGTAAAATCTGTAAACTTGAAAAAGAACAATCTGAGTAGCAAAGTGAACAGCACCTGTGCCATTCGAGTGCACACACTGTCCGGATATTACCAAATGATTGACCGCAACACGTGCATGCGCATGCATCACCTTCAATATTAACTTTCAATATTAATTACCGTCTGCACAATTTCCACAGACTAGCAAATTAATAACAAACGACGACGTAATCAATTACCGCTGTTTATCCTCTCGAAACAGTTCCCACACACAAATATGCATACACAACACGGGTTAACAGAGTTACAAAGAGATCTCTCTGAAAAATTCGACCGCATTTCCTCTCGAAATATCTGTTGAATTTTTCTCCGCAGCGAAAGATCCAAGCAACTTTCCGATCAAAAGCAGAGATATTATTCGTTCGTAAATAGACAGGTAGAGAAAATAGAAAGAAACACAGAGATAGAGTAAAGAGAGATAAGAAAAGAGAGAAACACACAGATGCAGAGGAATCCTCTGGACGAAAGGATGATGAAGAAACGGTAAAGGAGACGACGATCAGCGATTTTATGTTTGGACACTTACACTGGTACATGTGGGATGGTGCAATGGAGGATACCACGGAGATGCTGTCCATGTCGAGACCGCTTCCCTCGACCGTAATTGTCGGTGTGCCTGCGCGGAAATATATCAAGTAAAAAAAAAAGTGTTTTTCACGAGGATCCCATGTCAACCCTCGTATTTCTTTTTCCAATCAAAATCAGAACTTTTTGTTGCATTTTTGATCGAACTTGATGGATGAGATTTTTCAGATTCATTGTCCCTTGGGTTACTGCTTTCATACGTTTTATTGCAGGATTTTAGTGTTATATGGCACGTCTGCTTGTTCTTTATGTTGCACGTTATTGGAATGTTCTTAAACGTTATTGAAATATTTTTTAATCGTTAATTGACGTTATGAATTTATTACTGATTCTACTACGCGTGTAAAATTCGAGTAAAGTTGATCACGAAGTACGAGTGCGTCAAGGGTAAGTTAAGGGTGCGTCACGAGTATTGTCAGTGTGTCAAGGGTGCGTCAGGAGTATTATCAGTGCATCACGAGTACGTCAAGGGTGCGTCATGATTACTGTAAGTGCGTCGAGGGTGCGTCACGACTACTACAAGTGCGTCAGCTGTATTATTAGTGCGTCGCGAGTACTATCGGTGCATTAAGAGTGCGTCACGTGCACAATCGGTGCGCCAAGGGTGCGTCAATATGCGTCACGGGTACTGTAACTGCGTCGAGGGTGCGTCACGAATACTATAAGTGCGTCGGCTGTATTATTAGTGCGTCACGAGTACTATCGATGCGTCAAGAGTGCGTCACGAGTACAGCGCGTGCGTCAAGGGAGCGTCACGAGTACTGAAAGTGCGTCCAGAGTGCGTCACGCCTACTGTATGTGCGTCAGCTGTATTATTAGTGCGTCAAGGGTGCGTCGCGAGTACTATCGGTGCGTCAAGGGTGCGTCACGAGTACTATCGGTGCGTCAAGAGTGCGTCACGAGCACAATCGGTGCGTCAAGGGTGCGTCGCGAGTACTGTAAGTGCGTCAAGAGTGCATCACGCACAAGATCGGTGCGTCAAAGGTGCGTCACAAGTACTGTAAGTGCGTCACGAGCGCGTCACGAGTACTGTAAGTGCGTCAAGAGTGCGTCACGGCTACTATAAGTGCGTCAGCTGTATTATTAGTGCGTCAAGGGTGCGTCACGAGTACTATCGGTGCGTCAAGAGTGCGTCACGAGCACAATCGGTGCGTCAAGGGTGCGTCGCGAGTACTGTAAGTGCGTCAAGAGTGCGTCACGGCTACTATAAGTGCGTCAGCTGTATTATTAGTGCGTCGCGAGTACTATCGGTGCATTAAGAGTGCGTCACGTGCACAATCGACGAGTACTGTAAGTGCGTCAAGGGTGCGTCGCGAGTACTGTAAGTGCGCCAAGGATGTGTCACGAGTACAGTAAGTGCGTCAAAGGTGCATCACAAGGACTGTAAGTGCGTCAGGGGTGCGTCACGAGTGCAATACGTGCGTCAGGTGTGCGTCACGAATGCTGTAAGTGCGTCAGGGGTGCGCAACGACTACCATAAGTGCGTCAAGAGTGCGTCACGAGTACTATCGGTGCGTTCAAGGTGCGTCACAAGTACTGTAAGTGCGTCACGAGTGCGTCACGAGTACTATAAGTGCGTCAATGGTGCGTCATCAGTGCGTCACGAGTGATATGAAGGCGTCATCAGTGCGTCATCAGTGCGTCACCAGTGCGTCAAAATAGTGCAAAGATATAATTACCAACAATACCCTGCGTAAACGAATCGAAATCAATCGAGTTAACAATTAATAGTTGATTATAACGGTTCATCGCTAAAACATGCACATATTTAACCGACTCATCGACCCACAGACGAATTATAATCATTAACGAGCCGAGATTGAATCAGTGTTCGACTAATCGCGTTTAATAATAACAATAATCGGGGCCGGTATATTTCATGAAAGTATAATTAAAATACGGTGGCGGTACCGAACAGCTGTTTGCCCAGAAAATAATGTTTCGCTTTAAAATTCATGGCGCTGCCATGAAATATGCAGCCCGCGTATTTCATGTCTGACCACGCTCGATTGTCCTAAGGCAAATCGATCAATCCGTTTTAATGCACCGACACGGCAAACGGCTGAATAATATACGAAGGAAACGCGCTCGATTAGCGCACCACCTACGTTCGACTAACACTCGTGGTTGATGGAACCTATCAAATCCTTTTTTCCCTTTCTTTATTCCGCCGACTCTCCAACGACGGATGCACCGTAATGCGCTTTAACCGGGCGATTAATCTTACCGCTTCTTGTACAGTCAACAGCAAATCTGACCTTTCCTGGGGAAAATATCGCGACTGGGTGCGTAATACTTGTGTACGTCGCTAGTTTACACGGAATATTTTATTTTTCGAGGGTTTGTGGATGTGTCGGATGGGGATGTGGACTTTTCGAGAGGTGTGCGTTTAGGAATATAGCAATTTTCTGGTCTAGGGACGTGGGTCTAGGTTCTGGGTAATAGGAGGGACGTGGGATATGCGTGTGGGTATCGGGAAATTTGGAGGTATAGAGGCAGAAGATTTTTAGATAGGATGATGGGATTGGAGGTGTTGGGGTGTGGTTTTGGGTGTTGGCGATGTTGGGAGTTTGGGACGGTGGGTTTGGAGACGGTGGGATCTGGAGAAGATTGAATTTGGGGATGATGGTAGCTTGGTAAGGTGAGATCTGGGGAAGGTGGGATCTAGGGAAGGTGGGATCTGAGGAAGGTAGGATCTGAGGAAGGTGGGTTCTGGAGAAGGTGGGATCTAGGGAAGATTGAATTTGGGGAAGGTGGTATCTTGGGAAGGTGGGATCCTGGGATGGTGGGATCTGAGGAAGGTGGGATCTGAGGAAGGTGGGATCTAGGGAAGATTGAATTTGAGGAAGATGGTATCTTGGGAAGGTGGGATCCTGGGATGGTGGGATCTGGGGAAGGTGGAATCTGGGGACGGTGGAATCTGAGAAAAGTGGGATTTGAGGAAGGTGGGATCTGGAGAAGGTGGGATCTAAGGAAAATTGAATTTGAGGAAGATGGTATCTTGGGAAGGTGGGATCCTGGGATGATGGGATCTGGAGAAGGTGGAATCGGAGAAAAGTGGAATCTAGAGAAGATTGAGTCTGGAAAAGGTGGAATCTAGGGACGGTGGGATCTGGGAAAATTGGGATTTGGAGAAGATGGAATCTGGAAGACGTAGAATCTAGTAAAAGTGGAATATGAAGAAGGTGGAATCTAGAAACGATAGGATCTCAAACCTTAACATTCAAAAAGATAGTATATCTCAACATCTTAAAAATCTAAAAACCTGTAGCTCAATCTCAAGAAAGTGTACATTGCATTCGAGTGTACCTAAATGCAACTGTAGTTACATATGTTCCACAGCGTCGGTGCTGTGATGAATAATAACGACTATATCATACTTTAAAGAAATGATTCAGGATCCCTACGCATACCAGGCATTCTAACTGATGCACAATGAAAGTATGAACTAATAGGACAAATTCAGAACACATTTCCTTAATTACTATTTAAATTCTTTTTATATACTACATAATATTATCGGTGTCCAAATCGATCAACTCTAAATTATACATACTCTGTACTGTTTGCTCATTTATATACTCTACATTCACAAAAACTGTATTTGTATATTATTAATAGTAATAGTAAATGCACATGATCATTATAGTAATCTTTAATTAATATCATAGTAATTATTCTGTTAGCCGTACATCATTAGACTGCGGATGTTCACGTATTATTTGAATTGAAAGTGCAACTAAATTTTATCAAAATGAATTGCACAATTTTACAGAGTTCAACAAATGCTCTCCATTTGCCTCCACACATCAATTTGATATAGGTACTTGAGTGAAGTAGCCTTACACGTATGTACAAACACTGCAAACCAGACAGCAGTAACAATTAACACTTGTGATGCTACCTGCTACGTTATCTACATATGGATTTATTGCAAAATACCTTTTAGTTAATTATAACTTAAAGATGTCAGTCAGATGTCAGATCTAACTACACACCTCTTGTATCATCTTCATATCTCATCATATACATCTTCTATTATCATACATTCAGACCTCCATATAAATTTCCCATTTATATTTTTCAAAATAATTATCACATTTATATTTTCCAAAATAATTATCACATTTATATTTTTCTGGTTCAAAATAATGTACCTACTATGAACTCCACAAGAGTTCCTAAACTATAACCTCTTGAAGTCACCCCTTAAATTCCAACCCCCTACATATCATCAACATCCCCAGTCTAATCAGTTCAAGTTGATCGATTCAAAAATAGAAAAAGTTTTAAAATAGATAAGAATTGAAAACACGAACTTTTCTTACCGTCCGTGGTCGAATCGGAAAGGTTTCCACCGACGCTGGTCGCCCCTCCGCTCTCCCGATCGCTGGACCCCCGTACTCCACTGTCAGCGCTGCAACTTCCTCGATCACCAGCCTGTCCACCGGAGGATCCGGCGCCGGCCGCGTTCCCCACGTTCCCGACACTCACTCCCAGCTCGGTGCTTCCCAACGGCGGCTGAGAATTCATATGAGGGATGATACCGCAACCACCGCCCCCGCTGCTGCTTCCGGCGCCCGGCGTTGCTGCCCCATTCACGCTACCCCTCGGGAACGAGACCAAGGATTCCTGGTCGCTCAAGCAGATTCCGCCTCCTCCTCTTTCCGCCAATTGACGCTGCAACTGCACCAACACTTTTTCTGTGAGGTGAATTCTTTGTGGTGTCTTTTGGAGGAGGGTGAAGAGGTGAGGTGATCTGTGTTTGTTAGAGTAGAGGACTTTGTTACGGGATTTATTATATTATTGCTGTGTCATATTTTAAATACTAGTTTTTTAATTCTATTATTTTATGGTATTTTTGAAGTTTGTGGATGGTATTTGTATTACAACAATATATGTTTCAAAGTATGTTATTTTATAGGATTTATTATATTATTGCTGTGTCATATTTTAAATACTAGTTTAGTAATACTAGTTTTTTAATTCTGTTATTTTATGGTATTTTTGCACTTTGTGGATGATATTTGTGTTGCAATAATATATGTTTCAAGGTATGTTTTAATGTGTGTACTGGGTAGTGACATATGAGGGTAACATATGTGGAATATGCACTTTTCTGAATTGTGTCATTACTCACTAATAAAATATGTATTGAAATCAGGTGTCAGTGGACTTCAACCCTTAAATACATTATATTACAGTACTACAACATACATTTCTAATTTTTGCTCCACTGCAAGAATTATTTTAAAGTGTATAACTGAGTGACGTATGAAGTTGCAGAAGGGTAACATATGTGAAATATTCGCTTCTCTGAACAGTATTATTATTCACTAATAAAATATGTATTGAAACCAGGTGTCAGTGGACTTCAACCCTTAAATACATTATATTACAGTACTACAACATACATTTCTAATTTTTGCTCCACTGCAAGAATTATTTTAAAGTGTATAACTGAGTGACGTATGAAGTTGCAGAAGGGTAACATATGTGAAATATTCGCTTCTCTGAACAGTATTATTATTCACTAATAAAATATGTATTGAAACCAGGTGTCAGTGGACTTCAACCCTTAAATACATTATATTACAGTACTACAACATTTTAATTTTTTCTCTACTGCAACAACTATTTTAAAGTGTATACTGAGTGACGTATGAAGTTGCAGAAGAGTAACATATGTGAAATATACACATGTTTGAATTGTATCATCATCCACTAATAAAATATGTATTAAAATCAAGTCTCACTGCACTTCAACCCTTAAATACATAATATTGCAGTAGTGTAACATACATTTCTAATTTTTTCTCTCCTGCAACAACTGTTTTAAAGTACATATGAAATGACATATGAAGCTGCAAGTATGTAACATATGTGAAATATATTTTTCAATTGTATCACCTAGTAATAAACTATAATATAACGAAGTAAGCTATGTAATGAAGTAAATAGAATTTAGAAAGTACCTACACGAACCTATATTAATAATAACAGTATAAAACATAGACTAAAATATTTGATAAACCCTAACAGCAGAGGTAGTTAAGGGCAAATCGGGTGTTCAAAATATTGGACAGCGGATCGATATAATGTGATTACGAGCAGTTAGGTAAGAAGCATCTCTTGGCTCGTACATGCAATTACTCGGAGGGTGAGTCTGCTTTGAGCCCTCAAATTGTCCTCGACGGTGTGCATAAACGAGCCTCCTACGGTTAACGAGTTTAAAACTGATGGCTCGAGGGCTACTTTGGAACGCGTTCGAATCACGCACCTCACCAAATTTACATACCTTTCTACTTTTGCTAATCCATTTCGACTCTTCATTACATTTATGGCTGAGTGCAAATTTTACGGATTTTGGAATTTTGCATATTTGAGGATTTAGGAAATTGGAAATTTGAAGTTTTGGGGATTTTAGGGATTTGGGAAATTGAGAGGTGGAGTTTTGGGGGTGTAGGTATTTGGGAGATTTGAAGTTGGGGTTCTGGAAATTTAGGGATTTGAGAAATTTGGGGAACTGGAGATGTGGGCAAGTGGGAATTTGAGACGTAGGGATTTGGAAGTTTAGAGTTTTAGGGAATTTAGGGATTTGGGGAATTGAGAATATGGGCAGGTGGAGTTTTAGAGGAGCAGGGATTTGGGAGATTTGAAGTTGGAGTTCTGGAAATTTAGGGATTTGAGAAATTTGGGGAACTGGAGATGTGGGCAAGTGGGAATTTGAGACGTAGGGATTTGGAAGTTTAGAGTTTTAGGGAATTTAGGGATTTGGGGAATTGAGAATATGGGCAGGTGGAGTTTTGGAGGAGCAGGGATTTGGGAGATTTGAAGTTGGGGTTCTGGAAATTTAGGAATTTGAGAAATTTGGGCAACTGGAGATGTGGACAAGTGGGAATTTGGAGACGTAAGGATTTGGAAGTTTAGAGTTTTGGCGAATTTAGGGATTTGGGGAATTGAGAATATGGGCAGGTGGAGTTTTGGAGGAGCAGGGATTTGGGAGATTTGAAGTTGGAGTTCTGGAAATTTAGGGATTTGAGAAATTTGGGGAACTGAAGATGTGGGCAAGTGGGAATTTGGAGACGTAGGGATTTGGAAGTTTAAAGATTTGGGGAATTTGAAAATGAAATTGTGAAAATTTAGAAATGTAGAGAATTGTGAATATAGGCATAAATTTGAGGATTTTTAAAATAGAAGCTGTAACTTACTGCCTTGAAAAATGAATACAAATTTTAAATTCGTAAAAACACAAATCTTTGAAGATATTTGTCTTCAAACAGAAGAGTCTTCACACAAAATAATTTGATAAAAGAAGGTGTTCGATCAGTTAGAGTGCATAATAAGGCAGAAATGAAGCTGTAACTTACTGCCTTGAAAAATGAATACAAATTTCAAATTCGTAAAAACACAAATCTTTGAAGATATTTGTCTTCAAACAGAAGAGTCTTCACACAAAATAATTTGATAAAAGAAGGTGTTCGATCAGTTAGAGTGCATAATACCTAACTAGAAGGTTACAAAGAGCGTACCTCTTTTATGGTCGCGTGTGCGTGCGAAAGGGCGGCTTCTTTGTCAAAAAACACAAATCTTTGAAGATATTTGTCTTCAAACAGAAGAGTCTTCACACAAAATAATTTGATAAAAGAAGGTGTTCGATCAGTTAGAGTGCATAATACCTAACTAGAAGGTTACAAAGAGCGTACCTCTTTTATGGTCGCGTGTGCGTGCGAAAGGGCGGCTTCTTTGTCAGCCAAACTAGCCGCTAGGCTGAGACTTCGATCGGCTTCGTCCCTTGCCGCCCTTAAAAGACTCCAACGTTCCCTTTCCCTTTCCCGTTCCCGTTCCTCCGAAGGTATGCCGACTCCTTGCTGCTGAAGGCGTCCTAAGGTCGCCTCGTTCTCCCGCATCCGCTGTAATCAACGGTCAAAGAGACCCATATCCGGGCAGTAACTCCGCCCGAGACCACCACCGTTTAACAATGCATGCACCATGCGTACTAACTGTAAAACAGCTACCCTTTCAGACGTCCGAACACTCTGCTGATTAGATCAGTTTCGCGTATTAATTATTCTTATTTTCTTTTGGCTTCAAATTTAGGTTTGCGGGTTGGCGCTTTGAAATGGAGGAGGAAGTTAAATTATTAAGTTCGGAGGTTGAAGGAAATAAGGGAAGGGACATGTCTGCTGTGCAGAGAAGAAAATAAAAAACTAAGTAAATAAATTCATATGTTTCGGAGTATTAAAGTTCCTATATTTCAAAGCTTATAAGGTATTAGACTCTAAGATTATAAATTTGTAAATCTTCAAAATTTCTGAATTCCCTAGATTTTTAATTTCTAACTATTCAAATTCACAAGTTTCTAAGTTCTAAAATTTTCAAATCCTCAAATTCCTGAAATTCCCAAAATTTTCTAAATTTAATAAATTCCCTACATTCTCTGAATTCATTAAATTCCCTAAATTTCCAAATTCCTCAAATTCTCCAAATTTCCCAAATTCCCCAAATTCCTAAGTTTCCCAAATTCTCCAACTTTCCCAAATTTCCTAAATTCCATAAATTCCATAAATTCCCCCAAATCCCCAAATCTCCAAATTCTAGAATTCCCCAAATCCCCAAATTCCTGAATTCCTCAAATTTCCAAATTTCCAAATTTTCCAAATTCCCCAAACTCCCTAAATTCTCAAGTTTCCCAAATTCTTCAAATTTCCCAAATTTCCCAAATTCCCCAAATTACCGAATTCCCCAAATCCCCAATTCCCCAAAATCCCAATTCCCCAAATTACCGAATTCCCCAAATCCCCAATTCCCCAAATTCCCAATTCCCCAAATTCCCAATTCCCCAA